GTCTCTGGGGAGATTCTGATGGCGTCTCTTGCAGTTGAACATTCATGTGTCCTTCATCCAGCTCTTCAACTCCCTAGTGTATATGTGTCCCAGAGGGAACCTGATACTGCCTGAGAAGTTGGCAGAATTGTGCTTTTGGAGTCCAGCAATCTGGAGGCCATGCAGTCTCTATCAGGAAACTGCTGTGGGCCGAACCATGTCCCCCAAGAGCCATGTTCAAGGGTTAGCCTGTTCCACCTCAGGAAGTGGCCCTACTTAGAAATAAGGTCCCTATGGGTTTGTCAGTGATGATGAGATTGTACTGAGAAGCAGTGGTCAGCCTTCCTGGTGTCCCTGTTAGAAGAGCAGGGAAGAGGCTAGGTGATAATGGAGGCAGAGTGAGAGAGGTGTCCCCAAGGCTTGCTCAAGCCCCCAGAAGCCCAGAGAAGGCATGGGTCACATGGTCCCCAGGCCTCAGAGAGAGCACCACCCTGCCCATCCCTCCGTCTCACAATGGTGGCCTCCAGAATTCGAGAGGGGAAGTGTGCTGTTTGAAGACCCTGCTGGTAGCAATTTGCCATGGCAGCCCTGGGAAACTCACGTGAAGAATAGACAAATGTGTCTTTGCATATTTTTTTGTGGGGGGTACCAGGGATTGAACTCAGGGGCACTCAACCACTGAGCCACACCCCCAGCCCTATTTTGTATTTTATTTAGAGACAGGGTCTCACTGAGTTGCTAAGTGGCTTACTTTTGCTGTGGCTGGCTTTGAACTCATGATCCTCCTGCCTCAGCCTCCTCAGCTGCTGGGATTACAGGCATGTGCCACCAAGCCAGGCTATGTCTGTGCATCTTATTGTCCCAAACAAATGCACAAAGGTGTCACAAGGCACAAGGTTACAGTAAAGATCAGGTAAACAACGGCTGGAGGGAGATCCACTCTTTCAGGACTATGTAGAAGAAATCTAAAGGAGTGGAAAGCTAGGGACAAGAATAGAGAAGCAGGGTGGTGGGACCTGAGGCAGTATGTGAGGAAGGCAGGCAGCAGCCCAACAGGCCAGTCACACCTGGTTTTCCTGAAGAGCGGGGGCTCCCTGGGCACCTGATACACTATTAAACGTCATCGGATTAAAACAAAGTGATTATAAAGAATCCAATCAAGATCTCAAAAGAATCATTGGATAATGCCTTATTTATTTGCTTATTTATCTTGTGGCACTGGGGATTGAATCAGGGACGCTCTGCTCTGCCGGAGCCACATCCTCAGCCTTTTTATTTCTAATTTTGAGACAGGGTCTCTTCAAGTTAACCAGGCTGGTCTGGAACTTATGTTCTTCCTATCTCAGCTTCTCAGGAGCTAGGAATATAGGCATATGCACTGCACTTGGCTTGGACCAGCCTTTAAAAAACAATGATTTTGTAAAATATTGTGTCCACCTAAAACTTAAGAACAAATGTTTAAAAAAATAATAAAAGCAACGATTTTTATAAATTCTAACCAAATAATCTCACCGCTATTTGTAAGAGAAAGACTATTCAAACCAGGGTTGAGGTGTAGCTCAGCGCTAGAGCACATGCTTAGCATGCAAGGCCCTGGTTCAATCCCCAGCACCAAAACCAAAATGAAAACTAGGTATTCAAACCATATATACAAAAATGTTCCTTGCAAYTATGTAAAAAAAAATGTAAATTTATTGGTTCTAACAACGTTTGGAAAATCCATGAACATTTTTAATGTGGTGTGTGACAGTTCAATGACCRCCCCCAAAACCATTTCCCACCTGTCCCATTTCCATGCTAAGAGCCCCTGAATTTGTTATAAGGCACAACATGCCCAGTCATGAGATGAATCTGCTGGTCTGAGGTCACCCCAGTCCTGTCYTGGTGAGAGGGTTTGAGAAGACTTTGCTTTTGGTGGCCCAACCTTGGGCTCTGAGTGAAGTCAGTTATAAGCAGACAACACGCATGGTGCTGGGAGGGGGAGTGGGCAGCTACTTAAGTAGCTTCTGAAACCAGGGGCATCAGGGACAGAGTCTGGAAATAGTCCCCCTGTGTTTAGAGAGAGTGAATTGGGACTAAATATTTTTTAAAAATATTTATTTTTTTAGTTGGACACAATATCTTCATTCATTTATTTTTATGTGGTGCTGAGGATTGAACCCAGGGCCTCACACATAAGAGGCAAGCGCTCTACCGCTGAACCACAACCCCAGCCCAGGACTAAATATTAAGTGATTAATGTATTAACAGTTTTGTGTTAAGACAAAGTTTACTTAATCCTGGAACTACAGGGACTCAGATTAGAAAAAATTCAGGTGACAAGAATTCCTGTGTGTCCCACTTAGCATCCTTCCTCAGTCTGCCCTGGTGGGACATAACCAGAAACAGGAGRCGGGAACCATCCTAGAAGTTGACAGGATGCCTCAGACCCTAGTCCTCCTGGCTGGCAACCATGGCCTGGAAGGTAAGACGGCCTAAGTGGCGAAGTGCCACCAGGGCCAGTCAGCTCCACTGGTCAGCACATTATGGTCAGCGCATCACGTGCTTTCCTTTAATTTCTACTTTCACTTTCCTTCTCATTAGAGTTTTCTTTGGTTAACCCTATTATTCCCTTAGATTCTGTCACTATAAATCCATCAGTCAATACTTCCCAAGCTCCAATTTGAGCAAAACAATATGAATTCTCCAAGTAGGGAGTGCACACACCTGGCTGTGCGTAGTGTCTGAAAACACCAACAGGCGCCTGGTGTGTGGCTCAGCAGGTAATGGCATCTCTGCATCCCACACCATGTCCAACAGCGGGCACACAGCGAACACACACACGATTCATAAAATTCCCATCCATCTGCTGAAGTGGGGCACAGCTTCAGAAGTTGAAATTACCTTGATGGGCTGAGTACTGGGAGAACATGGAAGTCGAAAGCACTGGGAGACTAGGTTCCCTGTGAGAGTCAAGCCACTCTGAAGGCTGCCCACAGACACACCCCTGGCCAGAATTTCAGAACTGGCTGATTTAGGGCTATTCACATTGTGGATCACTAATTATTAAAAATAGTGTGAAACCCTCTGGTGGCACTTAGTAAAGAGTGAAAACGAAGCACATTAGCTCTGCGGTCCATCTTGTGAGAATCTGGAAGGACGCATGGCAAGAGTTCACCAGCTCCTCCACCTTGTGCAAAGTGTGACCACAAGCTTTGACTCTAAACTTCTAATACATGAAGTATATGGCTCTTTTCACTTTTGGGGAAAAAAATGTTCAGACACATCAGGGCTGGAGAAAAGGCAAAAAGCTAATGGTGYCGATGCCCTGGCCCCAGTGCACCCRCCAGGCTTTTGTCCTGAGAGCTGGAATCCCATCTTGCCTGCACACGGCCATCTTGCCAGGCTGGTGGATGGCGGAGTCTCTGCATGAATGACGTTAAGAGGCAGCATCTCCACCCATCTCACCCAGCTCAGGTCAGCAGCACCCTCCTATGAACTAGGTGGTGAAGGGCACACATGTGGGTTTCAGGGCATTCACTGAGGTGTTTGATGGTCTTTCTGGAATATTGCCCTATTCCAGTGGAGCAAGGCTACCATCATGGGTCCCTAGGCACCCACTCCTGCAGCCAAACCCTTTAAAAGGTCCTTCAGTGGCTTCCCGCTGTGTTCTGGGTATCAAACCTGTAAACTGACCTCAGAAAGCAGCACGGCAGCCTGTGGCCCTCCTTCCCAGGTCTCTGAGACCAGATTCCAGGGATATTTCCAAGGCATCAGTCTGCCTCTCTGTTGGGATGCACCCCAGGTGATCTGCAGGATTCCTGAGCAAGGACCTGCTCCTCCTGATGCCCCAGCACTGCTCTGGACGTGGGAAGGAATGACTTACTCAATATTCCAAAAGCACCACTTACATGGCATGTCCCACTTCAAGGTAGGGAATCGAGCCTGGTTAACCCAAGATTCCTGCCCTAGGTCCTATAGCCAAACACGAGGCACCACAGATGGACTCTGGCAGAGCACTGTCCCAATCCTGGACGTCCCACCCTTTCCCTACTCCACTAGAGGAAACAAGCTGGATCAAACAAACCAAATGTGAGCTACAAACCCTGGAATGAAGTACCACCCCGACTTCAGTGGTATGATAGAAGATCTGTCTGCCTCCCTCCACTCAGCCCATCTCTATCCCTAGGTCTCATCTTCCCAAGGTTCCCATAGGGCATCAATCAACACCGGGGATGTGAGCACAGAGACAAGACCCTGGTTCTCGTGGGGTCAGATAATCACAACTGCACRTTCACTATGCTGGCTGGAGCTAGGAGGAACATGACCACAGACATAGACACTCCACTCTATGCAAAGCCTTCAGGGAGGGAGTGCTGGACATGCAGGCTGTGCTTCAAGAGCCCAGTGTTTTGAAAAGCAGCACACAAGCAGCCACCATCTTTGGATGCCAGGAGCCAGAGCCCCATTTGCAAGACTTCAGGTCATGTCATGTAGCCAAGATTCACTAACTTCACTAACGTCCCTAAGGCGTTTTTTGTGGATCGGGTCTTGAAGTCRTGATCCTCCTGCCTCAGCCTCCAGGAGTTGGAGGCATGCACCACTGTGCCTGGCTTACTGGGGAGGTTTAAGTGGCGAGGCTTCAACCTTAAGGTTGAAGGGTGTTCTCACCACCAATGCCTGACAACTGTGAATCTAAAATTGGCCTCAAGTTATGGAAATGGGCAGGATGACCACAGCCCCAAGGCCAGAGGCACAAGGACAGCTTGCTCCAAGTGTACACTGGCAACTCACCTAAGCTCAACCCTCCACTTGCCCACAGTCCTGACCTGATTTTACCAAAAACAACCCAGAAATTGTTCCTTAGTGGCATGTCAGCAGCCAGGAAACCAATCTTCTTTGCAAGTGGTTTATTTTGGGAAATCTTTGCTCTTTCCAGGACATTTCATGATTTAGAAAACCCAAAGTTCACTCGGGTTTGAAATTACCTTTTTCAATACACATTTTAATAATGAAAAACGCTCCATTTTTTCCCCATTTAGACATGATACTTATTTCTTAAGTTACTTTGTTCAAATAAAACAATTTCTAGTATTAACTGTGCAGAATAAAGCCTCCAACACTTTCTCCTTGGGTGCTGACTTCTTACAGCATGGGAGAACCCTTTCTGTTTGTCTCCACAGAACAGAATTGTAACCCACATACAGTAGACAATCTGCTGTGCGGCCGACCTGACTTTTCACAGAACCAAGATCTATGCTCACTATTTCTACAGCAAATACTAGAAATGACAGAAAATTCAGGCAAAGTAATATATTTTGCAACAATTTTCTTCCAATGAATGACTTATAAGTACTTTCCCACCACACACTGAACAGGTAAGCAGTGTCCAAATTTTAACTGTTACATGAGACAAAATGTCATAGATTCTTGCATTTTATGTTACAAATGTGTCATTCCAATTATAGGAAAACTTTATTTCACAGGATGCTGACACCTGGTTCTGAACACAGCATACACAGCAAATTGGATTTTAAAACCAATCTGTTCATGAAAGCTTATATAGTAACTACATTAAATCTTATTTTTGCTAAAAAGTGATCATGTCTACCTTCTTCCAAGGCAGGATATTGTCTAAATATAATCAGACATTTAAGAACTTTGCAACTGGACTAGAATAAGCAGCTCTTAATGAGATTCCTAAATGGCATAGCAGTTTTGATGGACTAACTCCTCAGACAAGACAGATCTAATTTCTCTCTTCCCCAATTCATCTTTACACATGGGAACCATGCAAGATAAAGGCTCAATCTGATAAGGCTTCACATCCTACTGTGCATTCTGGTAGTGTTCTTGGCTACTGTTTTATTTACACTACCTACAAGTATTCTTTGGGGTGATGGACACCAAAAGCTCTTGTGTCCTTCTCCTTAAACTACCTCTAAAAGTTTGGGAGTACTTGGAAAGCAGCAAGTAAACACAAAACATCTTCCCGGAGTACTGATTTTGGACATTTAACATCAAGAATAAAGGCAAAGTGAAATTCACACTCACTTCTAACAGAACTTCAAGAGGCCCAACTTCTGAATGCTCATCTTAAAAGGGGGGTCAGTCACCTTTGCCATCAAGTAAAAGCAACCACCACCTTTTAAAATGTCTATTATCTTTATGCTGACAGGTCTCCTGAGGTCTGAAGTTTTTCCCCAAGTGACCTTGTCTGGCCAGGACGAAGATGGGGCAGACATTGTGCTAGCCCAACTGAACCATCACTATTTACACCTCAATTCCTGACCAGTCACATCCAGTTTGTGTGATATGACTCAAACAGGCATAAAGGCAGACACAAAGATTTTAAGTTAAGTCACACAGCAATGACASTTTAAGAACTAAGATGGCACAAGCTGCCCTACTCTACTGGTTCTGAGTGCTTATAAACAAGGGAGGAATTCACTTGCTTAGATATTTGAAATACAACTTTATTCTGATTCTAAACGAAAAGGAATGGGAATGACAGTAACAAACAAGATTCACCACTGAATATTGTGATGTGACTGTAGCAGTCATATTCAAAACTCAAGAAGGAAACAACTGCGTTCCAAACAGCTAAATATGCAGGTCCAAAAAATGAAGGTATTTTTTTTAACTGCCACATTCGCTCCGAAGCCCATTCATCTCCTTCAGCATTCCACAAATGAAGCACATGTCTGCTTAGCTAGATTTTAGTAAAGTGGCACACACGCGGCACCGCTGACGTCACAGGACAGTTGCCTATAAAACTAGACTTCTGACGCCGGGCTCCAGCTTCATCTTCTCACAGGTCATCATCCTCATCTGGTAGAGCAGTTGTCTGAGCAACCTAGAGAAGAAATGGAGAAATCAAAACATTCCAGATTAAAACTGTCAGGATCCAAAAGAAATCTAAGCATTAGCCACAATAACAACAAGATACCTCTAAATCGTGCTCGTACTGCGCCGCCAAAGCAGGGTCCATGACAACCTCTGGTGGGGCAAGAGCAGGCATGGCAACAAACTCCAAGTTAGGGTCTCCAATGAGCTTTCTAGCGAGCCAGAGGAAAGGCTTTTCAAAGTTGTAGTTACTTTTGGCTGAGATGTCATAGTACTATTTAAAACAAAGAAGAAACTTTTAAGAAACTCACCACTGAAACAATGCTCATTCATCCTGAGAACATCCAAGCTAACATTCTTTCACCCATAGTAATACAACCGTCAACTCCTCCAATCTTATCTAACTTGTAACTCTGTAAGTTGGCGCTAATATACCTGAAGATTCTTCTTTCGGTGGAAGACAATAGACTTTGCCTTCACTTTCCTGTCCTTAATGTCCACTTTGTTGCCACACAATACGATGGGGATGTTTTCACACACTCGTACCAGATCTCTATGCCAGTTAGGCACGTTCTTGTAAGTAACTCTTGATGTCACATCAAACATTATAATGGCACACTGGGCTGAAAAACATTTATGGCAATCAACACAATCCTAGTTTACCACACAAGCATGGAAGAACCACAAGACTAAAGTTCAATTAATTTTCATCAGCTCTGGGTTATCCCTAYACACTCGATTTAAAAATCCCTTCTTCCAATGCTAAAAATGTAAATTTTAAGACACAATATTGATTAAAATACTTCTTTATAAGAAAACATGAAAGACCAGCTTATCCAAACCATTCTTCTATTTCCCCCTAAACACTTTGGGGATGATATACCTCATCCGCAAAACGTATCAAAAGCAATTAGTGCTCGATCAGCACCGAGATCTGCCCGCCTTATTCTGAGAATAGGACCTAGAAGTACACTCTCAAAAGGTCCTTAAGGGGCTGGATGTACTAGAGAACATCACGCTTTTGTTTCAAACACCCCAGGTCAGGCGGTCCGCTGACTCGCGGGGAGGCCGCAAGGCTTCCTAGACAAGGAACTGCAGGATGTCTACGCTGAAGCAGTTCCTCGGCCCTGAGGGGAACGTTCTGTGTCTATCTGCTCATGCACAAGGAAGGGAAGACATAGAAGGACCCCACCACATTTTCATCAGGGCAGAGAAATTCCAAAAGATACTTTTTAGCTGATGCCACAGTAGATCTTATAACAGCCACTCCAGTTTCAAAATCGAGCACTAGGGAGCCACATGCAAAACTTGGTGCAGACAGACCCCGGCTCCTCCGCACCGGGGCTACGGGGAAGGCCCCACAGAACCCGGGCAGCGCCTCGGGCGCAGGGCTGCTGCCGCCCGCCCCGCCGTGAGCATGACACAGCACGCGCCAGCGCCCGGCCCGCACGCGCGCGGCCCACCTTGGATGTAGTAGCCGTCTCGCAGGCCGCCGAACTTCTCCTGGCCCGCCGTGTCCCAGACGTTGAACTTGATGGGCCCTCTGTTGGTGTGGAACACGAGCGGATGGACCTCCACGCCCAGGGTGGCTGCAAGGCAGGGCGGTCAGCGCGCGCTCCGGGCAGGCCGCCCCGCTCCCCGCGCGCGGCACCTACCTACGTACTTCTTCTCGAACTCGCCGGTCAGGTGGCGTTTCACGAACGTCGTCTTCCCGGTGCCGCCGTCGCCCACCAACACGAGCTGCGGAGACACGCGCGTGAGCCCCGCCCCGCCCCACCCCGCCCCCCGGGCCTGGGCGCCGCGGGTCTCGGCCGGCCGGTACACACCTTGAACTGCACCTGCGGCTCCCCCTGCGCGGCCATCGCGGCGATCCTGCGGACAGCGGCACGTGGCCTTACAAAGGCGGCGGGGGCCGCGGCGGGCCCGGGGCCCACGGAGGCCCGGCCCGCCGCCCCAACGCCCCGCCGCGCCTCCCCGCCCGCCGCCGCCGCACCCCGGCCCGCCCGGCCCGTAGCCCGCCGCCCCGCACCCGGCCCCGCCGCTACCTTCCAGAAGCGTCTCCGCGCCCGTCCGACTGAGGCTGGAAAGATGGCGGAAGCGCGATTCAAATGCCGGAGACGCAGCCGACGCCGAGCGRAGGGCGGGGCCTCGCGGGGCGGGGCAACGGCGCCGCGCCCAATCACGCGGCTCGCGCGCGCGCACGCACGCACGCACGTACGCAGCACCCGGCTCAAGCGGTCGACGCTGCCGGCTAGCGCTCAAGCGGCTGTGGGTCACGTGGAGGGGCTGAGGCAGGCGCGCACGCGCGCGCGGTGCCGCGCCCGCCGGCTTGGAGGGCGGGCTCTCGGCACGCATGCGCCGACGGCGGGTGGGGCGCCCTGCTTCCGCTGGTCACGCGGGAGGCGGCCAGGCTGCGCGGGAAAGACCGGTGGGCGGGTGCTCTGGAGTCCTGGCTGTCCCGGTGCACTCTCAGKCCCCAGCCGCCGCGCCGTGTCCCCGGACGCTCCGTGGGCGGGCCGGGATAAGAATGAATGAGTACTTCTATCCTGCTCGCGGCCCACCGCTGCCTCCGCCTGGGCGGTGCCGGCTCGCCGCGCCCTGGGCGGAGGCGGCCTACCGCGTCCGGCGGGCCGGCCAGGATCGTCCTGCTCCCCAGCAGGGCGGTGGCCCGATTCCAGAGCTGCAGGCATTGTCCAAGACCTGATGCTGCAGCCATCCGTGCGCACTGGCCACCCCACCCCGGCCTCGGGTTCCCATGGTTCGGGAGATGCCCTGGTGTTAAATTCGCGCGCATCCAGTGACCGCCCTCCCCGCCGCCTGGCCTTTAAAAGGCAGGCAGGCCACGTGTTAACAAGGCTCAGTAGATCCCGAAAGGGCAATGTGGAGAAAAGCAATCACTAAAGGACGCGATGCTGGCTTTATGTACTTCAACACTATTATGTAATCCTACAGAGAGGTTTTACATGTAATATAATGCCATTTGCGCGCAAATGTGTGTGTGTATGTATGTGTATATATATGTACACACACATATAGATGCAAACAATTACATTAGTTTTCGGGCTATGTGTGCGTAATTTTTTTGGCTGCAAGGGTATAGACCATATCCAAGAGAATAGAAAGAAATGGGATGGGATGGGGAGAGATCAAAAAACACTCAATTTTACCTTAAGTTATATTTCTTGTTTTCCAGAAGTAACTGAAGCAAAAATTTACACTTGCCACTGTGTGCTTCTGGGTGGAAGAGTACCAGGGGCACCCTGCCACACAAGTCATGGAAAATAGGTCAAGCCAGGAGCTCTAGTACCCATCCTGTTACATGGTGCTCCCAGGTGGCTGGTTTGTTAGCTGCACCGTCCCTTACTTGCCCAAGAAGAATTTGCAAAGGTCGTCATCATAGAGGTAAGAGAAACAGGAAAGCACTCAATGAGATAGGCATAGGGGATGTTGCCTGCACTACCATCCAAGCGCCTGTGAGCCTAGACATCATGGCTTGGCAGTTTACATAGATACTTGCCTTTGCAAAGTGGATTGCTAACCTATGCTTAACTTGCAGTTTATCAGAATTGCAGCCACTGAGTATGTGCAGGACCCTGAGCCCAATCCCCAGCACCAAAACAAAAGCAAAAACCCCCATCTAAACACAGGTTTGTGCAGACTTGGAAAAAAAGGTGCAAAAGTAGTAGAAGAAATTTCAGCTTATCCTTCTGATTTCCCCTAATGTTAGAATGACTTGATGTTTTCATTTGTCTTTACCATTCCCGCCCTTCTTGAAATATATGTATATAGGTATGATTTTAAAAAATCATGTCTGTGTATATGTATGATTTTTCTTCTGAAATATTTTACAGTGCAGAATGCCCCTTAATGTGTATTTCTTAAAACCAAGAACATTCTGCTACATAGCCATGTGCATTAATCAAAATATTTTTTTAAAGAAATCAGAAGATGGACATTGTTATAACTGTTATCTAATGGGCAGATCTAACTTGCCCGTAGTCTCACTTTTATCTGGTCTGGGATCCAACCCAGGCTACCTGTTCCTTTTAATTGTCAGGTCCCCTTAGTTTCTTTCTATGTGGAACTGTCTTTCATGATCTTGACACTTGGGTGGAGTACAGGGTGGGCCCATTCTTCTGTGGAATACCTCCACTACAGCTTGGATCTGGAGTGTCCTCCAAAGGTCATGTGTTAAAGGCTTGGTCCTTAGTGTTATGGGAGACAGTGCAAGCTTTAAGAGGGAGAGCCTAGTTAGTGGGTGTTAGGTCATTGGGGGGCACCCTTGAAGASATTAGTGGGACCCCAGCCCCTTTTCCTTTTTCAGTTTTGTTTCCTGGCCATGAAGTTAATGGGTTTTATTAAAAATACTGAGGTGCCATAAGAAATTGGGCATGAGCTGGAAAGTGGGTGGGCAAGGCATTTACTCCTGTCAAAAGGTGTTCGAGGGGAACCTGACTAGTAAGCATGTCTGGGTGGCCATATCCTGATTAGGGGAGCTCAGTGATACAAGCTATGCGACTAGCTAATTTTAAAACTGGGGYGGGAAAGGGGATTAGATCCATTAAGGCTCTATTCTGAAAATGGACCACTGGGCTTTGTGTCTCCCACACTTCGCTTCACTGTGCATTCTTCAGGACGTGCAGCCTCACCACAAGCTCAGAGCAGGGGGCAGCAGATCAYAGGCTGAAAGCTCCAAACAGCCTGCCGAAATAAACCTGTCCCTTTCTGAGTGGTCACCTCAGGCTTTGTTGTCGCAGAAGGAAGCTTACCAACACAGGGCCTCCATTGGGATTTTCTGATGTCCCTGTGGTTAGATTTGGCTTGTACAGCTTGGTTGGAGACACCACAAGTGTGATGTGGGCCCTTCTTGGCACATCTCAGCAGGCACAGAGCAATCTTTTAAAACCTATCAGGCCACCCTACGTGCCTCCTATAACTGGGCCATAGTTGAGGTTTTCTTGCTCTGGGTGACCTGGCTTGGGCTGGCTTCTGCTGGTCCACCCCCTGGACTCCCACGAAGACCTTGACCTTTCAGAATCTCACCCTAGCCAAGTTTGTCTTTGCTGCTTGGTCTTTGCACCTCAGGGTCCCTGTCTGAAAGCTCTTGCCCCTACCTTTGCCTGACCAAACCTTTCTCACCCCCCAGCTCCTTGGACAGCCCACCCTGACCTCCTAATCTCCCCCACCCCCAGGCATTCCCCATGTCACTGCTTGATTTATTTTCCCCACAGCACCTGAAAATATCTCATTTAATTATTTACAGGCTTGTCATTTACTTTCCCACACTAGGACAAATGAAGACCCTATTTGTCATGACATTCAAAGTACCCAGCACAGTACCTGACACAAATATCTGTTGAATTACTAAGCACATTACTCTTAACTCTTTCTGAATACAGAAAGAATAACCAGAAACAGCAACAATATTTATATTCTAATAAAAATAATGTGATTTAAATATACAAGCTTTTAGAATTTTTATTTTGCTATTACATTCCTAAGTCTAATCATTAAACAAACATCTACCAAATATAGGGTCCAGCTTTTGTTTATGTAGTTCCCATAAGCCTTGTTGACTTTACAACCAATAAGGAAGCCATCCTTCCTCCTCCTCTTCTCTTGTTTTTTTTTTTTTTTCTGGTAGTGCTGAGAAGTAACTTAGCAAGATCCTACCTCAAAATAAAAGGGTAYATGATGTAGTTCAATGGTAGAGTGCTCCTGGGATTAATCCCTAGTACTCCCCAAAAAGCTGAGTCCCCTGGCATGTACGGTCTCGGGTGTGCTAGGCAGGTACTTTGCCACTGGGCTGCACCCCAGCCCCAAGGAAGCTGTTCTCAAAGATGCCATTATCTATTTCATCCATCAGTCCAGCTGATACATGTCTACAATCATCAAATTAGATATTTGCGGGCTGATGTTGTAGCTCAGTGATAGAGAGCTTGTGTTGCATGAGTGAGGCACTGGGTTCTAGCCTCAGCATTATATAAAAATAAGTAAATAAAGATATTGTGTCCATCTACAACTAAAAAAAWTTTAAATTAGATATTTGCTCATCATTAAATTTTCTTTATTTCTATTTTTTTTTCTGGTGTTGCTGGGAATTTAACCCCAGGCCTTGCATATGCAAGGTGAGTACTCTACTAACTGAGCTACATCCCCAGCCCTTCATTATTACATTTTTTTTTTAATAAAGGGAGCACATGGCTGAACAGAATACATGACTTCTTAGCATTAACACAGAATTTRTTTTCCCAAGAGGAAAATGGAAGCCAGGGACCAGATGCATTCCTGTGGTCCAGCAAGAGGTTGAGGCAAGGAAATGGCAAGTTCAAGACTAGCCTGTGCAACCTTGTCCCAAATTAAAAAATAAAATGGACTGGGGATGAAGCTCAGTGGTAGAGTACCCCTGAGATCAGTCCCTCAAACAGAAGCTGAGGTTCTCCGCAAGTTGCAAGAACTGCACCTACCTGTCAGCCAGGTGAGTGCTTCTCAGAAGTAGAGCTTCTGGTCTCGCCCCAGCAACACCTTACTTGCCATTCCATGGCACCTGGACCCAGCAAGCCCTCATTTGTTCCTGACCCAGGTCTGAAGTGTTTTATTACTGTTTCATGCTGTTACCTTCCCCCCGCTCATTTTGCAGTGCTAGGCAAGTGTTCTGTCACTAAGCTGAGGCCCATCTCTTCAAGCCATTAACTTCTGCAATTTGTTTTACAGTGATAGTTAACAACAAAAAATATGGATGATCTCACATAAAAACCTAGGCATCTGGTTTACTTTGAAAACCCTAAGATTGGGAGACATTGGCCCCATTTCTTGTGTGGCTACAGCCATTTGCCCGTGGAAAGCCAATGTCTCTCAAGGATGGAGCAAGCACTCAGTGGCCTCAGGCCTGGGGCCTTCACACCACTCAGCCAGCAGTGCTACTGACACACAGCTGCTCTGCTCCCTCCCTCACCTGCCTGAGTTCTCCAGCTGAAGTRCAGTGAGCTGCAGGGGTGATGATGAAGGAATGCACCACCTGGGGCAGCATCTACGTGGTGCCCACTGTGTACTCAGCACTCTCCAGGACTGGGGCAGTGAATAGCCAGGAGATGAATGTGATGAGTCAGCAGTACAGAGCTGGCCTC